TGTATGGAAAGGCACTGTGAGCGACCCGGCACTTCATTTTACTCCTCTCTTTAGGAGACACGGAAACTGATTTTCTTTCGCCACTCCCGACACCAGTCCAGTCTCCCCAGCTTGTACCTTCGGCGCCCTCGCTGCCCTGAACCCCCGACCCCCTTCCATCAGCTCACCGCGCCAGGACCCTGGTCCAGGTTTGGGACAGCTCAAAGAAAGCGAAAAAGATGGCTCGGCAGGGAAAGGGAATACAATAGGCATAAGGCGGCCGATGGCTCGGACCAGAAACGCCGCACTTCGGAAGGAGAAAAAAGTTTCCTTTGTCAAACAAGTGACCACGTGGCGCCATGGCGGCCACCCCCAGCAGTCCCGTCAGGCTGCCAGGCGCGGACCTCGGGACGCGCCAGCCACCTCCGGCGCTGGCCGAGGGGAGCCCCGAAAAGCGGGGGCCCCGCGGTAAGCCCTGAGAGAGCGGATCCGGAGGACGCAAGGAGGCGCGAGACGGTGGCTCTGGGAGCGGCACTGAGGGCGGGGCTCCCGCGGGGAGAGGGGCGAGGAGCGCAAGGTTCCCGGAAGCAGCGGGGCACAGGGGGCGGGACCCTCGGGGGCGGTGGCGCGGGGGGCGGGTCCCCGGCGTTGGGCGGGCGCGGGGGGCGCGGCTTCAGGGACTGGGCGGGAGGCGGGGGCGCTGGGGCCTTGGGCGCCGGGCTCCGGGCCGCGGAAGGGCGCAGTTCGCGGGGCAGGGCGGGGCGGGGCGGGGCATGGCGTCCATGGCGGCGGCGATCGCGGCCTCGCGCTCGGCCGTCATGAGTGGGAACCGGCCTCTGGACGACAGGGAGCGGAAGCGCTTCACCTACTTCTCGTCGCTGAGCCCCATGGCCAGGAAGATCATGCAGGACAAGGAGAAGATCCGGGAGAAGTACGGGCCCGAGTGGGCGCGGCTGCCGCCCGCGCAGCAGGACGAGATCATCGACCGGTGCCTGGTGGCGCCGAGCGCCCCGGCGCCCCGCGACTCCGGGGACTCCGAGGAGCTGGCGCGCTTCCCCGGCCTGCGCGGGCCCACGGGCCAGAAGGTGGTGCGCTTCGGGGACGAGGTAGGTGCGGAGCGGGCCGGGCTCCCCGTCCCTCGAGGCGCCCCCGGCCGGGCGGACCCCTGCCCGCTAGCAGCCGCCCCCGCCAGGCGCGCGGGCAGGGGCTGGAGAGGAGAAGGCGCAGGAACCGGGGTGGGTGGGACGGGCGGCCCGGAGCCGGAGGGCTGGGGCTGGGGGGCTCCCCGGGGCAGTTCGTGGAGGACCGCCGAGAGAAGGAAGGAGGTCATTCCAGACCCTCCATCTGGAGCTGCCCCGCCGGGCCTCAGGGGACCCGAGACTTGTCAGACCAAAGTGCCAGCAAGGGATTTTAAGCCAGGCAGGTCTGGGTTCGAATCCATTCTGCCATTTAGCTCTCTGGCCGTGGGTGACCTAACCTTTTAGAGCCTCACTTCCCCCCGGGAATAATAATATCCACCCCAGGCCTGCCAGGGAAGGCAGTCAGCCTTTTATACGTAATAATATTACTATTTGTGATGCGCTGTGTGCGGAGAGTGAAATTGTCCAGCAAGGTAACAAGAAGCAAGAGGTGCCTTCCAAGATTAGGAGGTAAAACCCGAAGCCCTAAGATGTTTCCGAGTGAGACCGATGTGCTGCTTAGTTTTGGGAATGAGTACGGTGGCCTCCTTTTTCCAGTGAAAAACGAGAGATACGTGCAGATGAGCTGTCGCAAGGCTTTGGTACATATAAGGGCATGCCTGGGCCTCTGACCTAGACACTCTGCTGGGCCTTCTAGAGGGCCGGACATTGTGGAGGCAGAAACACTGAAACTAGAAAAAACTCAGGGGTGACCCATACTAAGTCACAAAGGCTTGAGTGTTCTGTGCTTCTCCGAAAGTCGGCCTTTTCCTGGAAATGTGTTTAACTAAAATCTGTTTGGTGCCAAATCTGTGGCTCTTTGGCCTTTCAGACTCAACTTTTGTGGTGAGGGTCAAAGAAGTCCAAAGGAGCCTGCAGTATACAGGGAAATCCGCAGCCCTGAGAGCTCTGAGGCTGCAGGCAGGAGGGGCTGGGCTTGGAGAGGTTTTCCAAGGAAGTCGTAGACTGTGGAAGGAATTCTAGTTGAGGATGAGGTTTGAATCTGATTTTCAGGCGTGGGTGTGCTGAGACCTTTATTAATAAAAAATGTTTGTGGTCATAAACCCGCTTTCACGTGGGGGAAGTGTGAGAGTGCAGAACTATGCTTCCAACGTTGCCTTATACTGACAGAATTAAAAGAAGAGTCTTTCATGGATTTTAAACTCTGAAGGCTTCGCCAGGAAAAAACGAGGGTGTGGTAACGGAAGAGATGAGAATATAAGTTTAAAATGTAAGCCCAGAGCTGAAGCATTTTTAGTGTGAACATATGCATCTCTCTAAAGACATTCGCAGGGTTGGGGCTCAGATTTGGGTGATGGAAAAGCAGGCAGCCCCTCTTTGGAAAAGTCACGCAGAAATAAACTGTGAGAAGAAATAAACCTGCAGGTACTTACAGATGTTGCAGGGTCCCTGTCATTTTCCCTTAGCTTGCTGTCCGGCTAAGAATATCCACATGCCCGTTCACCATCCAAAAGCCCGTGCCATATAAGGGTCCGGTGTGGCTGATAAGGAAAGATGTGGCCAAGTGAATTTTGTGCTCCGATTCCTTAACTGGGTGCCGGACTGAGCTGTTTGCGAATTTGTAAACGCAAAGCGATTTAGCGGCCAACAGAACTTTTTGCTGTGGGACCTGCACGTCCTTCCAGGAGCACGGGAGCCCTGATCTTCAGAATTGAACTCAGCTTTGCAAAACGGGTTGCGAATATGTCCTGGAATGCCTCCGACCAGCCTCTCAGCACGGATGGCGGAGAGACAGTGAGTTTGAGGACAGGTACGGAGGTACCTTGCTCAGAGCTTTTTTTGTTGTTGTTGTCTGCCCCTGCTCTCCTGCAGCGGCTGAGTGATTTCATCCCACTAGGGAGTTTAAAATGTGTTACCTGGACTTGGCAAAAGGTTGGCACCAAAGTGGAGTTGGTGGTCTCATGCCCAAGAGGAGGGCTGTACTTGGAGGAGGTTTCGCTCCTGCGCACAAGGGGCGATGATAAAGAGAGGGTGGCGGGTGACCCCTCGGTAGATTGCTGGACAGAGTGGCTTGCACAGGTGGCCCCGGTTTGTCCAGAAGGGCCCTGAACCAGACTGAGTCAGGCACTCTGTCCCTTCCTGTTTGATCTGTCCTCAGATGTAGCCCCTGGAGCCTCCACGGCCAATCTGGCAACAGAGAATCCTCATCCTAGCTCTGCCACTGCCAGCATCCACCGTGGGCCCACTGAAGGACGGGTGCTCAGGTGCACCCCAGCTCTTGCTTTAGCCAGCATCTGACCTTGGATGATAAGCAGGGTGGGCCCCCTAGATACTTGGGAAAGACCACCTGGGATACTGGGTTCTGAGGGCCTTTCCTAAGGCTGTAATAGAAAGCGCCGGGGCTTGGTTGTGAGTCTTGGGTTTGTTTTGGCTTCCATCTACTAACCTTTTCACTGTGGTGAACCCCTAACCTCTCTGAGCTCCTGCAACGGGAAGAACATTTACAGGATGAGAGTAGAGACAGTGTCTAGGAAAGGCCTGTGGGACTAAAACATGGTTGCTGCTGGTGAGAATATGAAGGTTGTTAGCTGTTGTCTCTCCACATCCACTTTTGAGAATCACTGTCGTGAAATCAATAAATTCCTCCTGTTGCTAAGCCTGGCGCTGGCCACATAGAGTCCCACATGAGAAGGAGCTCTGTCCTGCCGAGCTCGAGGGATGGGCCTCGGGGCACATACTGAAAGCTGGGCTTGTTCTGTCCACACTGTGGCCATGATGTGCCCTGTTTCCTGATCAGCAGTCACACCCGCCTCAGATTGGGCCCCCCTTTCGGCTACCCCGAAGGACCAGGACGTCGCCTGTTCCTTTGAGTACTCTCCCTCATCACTGGTAACATTTCTGTGTCCCACACAGGAGCATTTGACGTCAGATCATGCCCATATGGCCTTCAAATGGGACTGCCATCCAATCATGGTTACGCGTTGAGGGAACAAACGAGTGGAAGCCTGCTTGGGCTCAGGGCTCAGCTCACATGCCCAAGTTGCCCAGCTGGGGCCGCTCCGTATAGGACAGGTGTGGCAGCGTGCCATCCGCGTGTTCGTTTTTACCTTCGTTGTCTGTAAAGTGAGGAGACCAGCGTCCAGGCCCAGATCCACCCTTGCTTGGAGGACGCGCCTGCTGAGGAGAGGGAGGCTGGCTGCCTTTGCGCCTTGAAGCCGTGAAGGGTCCTGTCGGTGTCTTGGTTCTTACCACCTTGGCAGTCAATTGAGTGCCTATTTCTCAAAGCCCAGTGTATTAGACACTAGAGCCGCTCACGCTTTAGGGATGCTTAGTCTTCCCCTGATTTTCACCAGCGTTTAATCCCTCCACGTGAACATATGATCTCAGTACAGCTTCAGTGCAAGGCCGCCGGCCCCTCCTGCCCCCTGGTCATCTCCCCAAGCCCCCTCCTGTGCAGAGAATCTAGAGCTGCTGCCGGTGGGACACTTATCTCTCAGCAACGGAAGAGAAGCACCTGGTGTCCCCATACCTGGTTCTGGTCCTGCCACAGCCCGGCTGCCCTCTTAGGGCGGGGTTTTCCCTCCACCGGGGAGCAGCTGCCTGGACTTCTCTCGGGTTATAGGCCTTGCTTGGAACAGACATGGACACAGGCTTGCCCTTTGAGTCAAGTACTTGGTCTGAACATTGAAGCCCGCCTGCGAATGGTGCTCTGAGCCGTCTGGCTTTCCCTGTGCTTCTCATTTACGGCGTTCTTCTTCCAGCAGTAAAAGTTCTGGGAATGGCTTTGCTTTGGGAGATGAAAAGTTTTCATTTTAGAGGGATTTAGCCATCACCCCAGTCTGCTTCTGCCGCTTCCTGTTACCAAATAGCAAAAAAACACACCAAAAACGAAGAAACGAAAACCCTGACTTTGCAGGCATGTGTCGCTCTCTGCCCCTTGCCCCCACTCCCAGACTCTTCCGCTGATGTGAGCACGTCGGTGAGAGTCACAGGGTTCCGAGCTCTATGCCACATTCTTGGCTCCCAACAGGCCATAAGCAAGTGAACTCAGAAGTTTGGGCAGCTGGAGTACTGGCTTCTCAGGGACCTGCTTGCCTGTATCACTTCTGGGGCTGGGCAGGAAGGGGGTTTCCATATGCCAGCCCCGGGAACCCTGACCTGGATTTCGCGTGCTGTAGAGCACAGGTTTTAAGCCCTGGAGCAAGGCAGTTCTGTCCCCTGTTCAGCAGCTTAGCATGACCCGCTGCTCTCAGAAGGAGGTGTTCTCTAGCACCTGCCTCCCTCCCCCTCCTGCGGGAACCTGGAGGCTTGCTGCCGGCTCCTTTACTCTACCTGGCCTTCACCTCCTTTTCTGGGGCTGAGTCTTGGCCTCCCTGACCCCTGGATACCTTCTGCAGGTCTCTGAAGGCCCCGTGGCTTTTCCCGTGCCCATTGCCCATCCGGCTTCTGCTCCCAGCTGGCTGACGAAGCACCTTTCCCTGAAGGTCTCAGGAGGCTGGGGGTCAGTATGGAATCCCCCAGTGCAGCAGACCTCGCCGAGCCGCTGTCATCCAGTCCATGCTCTTGGGGCTGCCTGCCAAGGGCCACCTTGCCCTCGCTCCTTAGGGTCCAGGCTGGCCAGCTGTTTGTGTTTGAAAATAAACTAATTAAATGGGTATACAATTTCTAAAATAACGACCCTGTATGTTACTGTTAAAAATTTCAAGCAATGCGGAAAGCAGCAGCATTATGAAGCAGAAATTGGTAGTGCCCTTCCAGAACTTTCCTCACCTAATCGGATATGTGTCTTCCTGATGCAGGACCTGTGACATGTGAGGTCACCTCTTCTCCGTTCACTTCAGCAGCTTGGCTTCTATTTTTCAGCCTTTGGCACAAAAAATGAGAAACTTGAGAGTTCCTTTCTCAGTGTTTGGACTTGTTTTTTAAGGAAGGCGGAATGTGTAATTATGATTCCCACTTTCTGTCTG